ATATTTTAAAAAATTTTTAATCCTTTTTTAATCACTATATTTTAATTGCTATTTTTAGTCACTATTTTTTCTAAGAAGACATCGTTATTCATTGATAATAAAGAAACGTAATTTAGCAAATCTAATACAGAAAAAGGAAGCTGTGGAAAGCCATAATCGTCTTGTGTGGGACAGCCAGTGAATATCGAATTCACTACCTAGTAGTAATGATCATCCATAAGATCCTCGCTAAACATTACCCCAAGACGAAGCGTACGCTATATCATAATTCTTATGAATAAATTATTTGTTGAATGCACACTTACGCAAACATACATACAAACGCATACAGAAATACGTACATGCACAAATCTACACACCCGCGAGTGAAACATGCACACACGCACACACATGTGCATTTGAATAGAACAAAGAGTGAAGTGTTTTTTTTTTTGTTTTTTTTTAACTCTTGGACATTGTCGCAGGCATTCTTTGTTTTTTTCACACTATGTTTCCAATTATCAATAATACACGTGTATTATTAACAAGAGTCTTCAACAATCGTGGTCAGTGCGCTAGATGGTACGATGTCCCACTTGTCATAAATTAACAACTTAAAATGTTTTCATCAATGGCAATCCCACTAGTAAATTAAATAACATGAGGGTCCGCTAGTGAGATGTCTTTATTTTATTTTATTTTATTTATTTTTTACTTTTTGGTTTTATGGTACTTTTTCCACGTATTCTTTTGGAGGCACTGAATCTCTTAATTTTCGAATCAATTGGTCACACCAAAAACGTTTTAAAGAATGGTAAGAATTGCTAGGAAGAATAGATCACTAAAGAAAGAAAAAAAACTCATTTGTTAAAAAATAAACAGATAAAAAAAAAAAAAAGAAAAAAAGCGGTGGGTTTTGGATGGCCAGAAAGAAGAGTCGCAATGCCATGAAAAACCAGAGAGTCTACTCATAACGAACAAGGAAAACCCTTAAGCAGAAACACTTCCCACATCTGTATCTATAAAGATTTCAACAGACACAAGCGCGTCTGCGTATACACACACACACACACACACACACACACACACACACACACACACACACACACACACACACACACACACGCACCGCATAAACACGGTCCGCTGACACGTAAGTGCATACATTTATTTAGACACACTCAGACAGTAAACATATAATCAGTGTCATTTTCTTCCCACATACTTAAAAGACACACACATACATATTATGTAAGCAATCACATACACACGCGATTTTTTGTATGTGAACATGTAAGATATCATGTGCTAACGAACCATATACATGAAAATACGCATGCACACACACACACAAAACACATACGTAAACACACACACACACATATATATATATATATATATATATATATATATATATATATATATATATATTTTTAAGCGTTCAACTAGGCTGGCATCTCCTCACTGTCGAAACTGTTAAATGAAGCCGTCTCTTCTATTCCAATAGCTCCATGTCTCGCACTTCTTGCCTGTGGAACTCCCTCCCCCCTTTTCTTGTTTCCCTGATAGCTATACTTTCCAACTATTCAAATGTAATGTTAATCAACGTCTCCAGATGCCCTGATCTATCCCCTATCCTTCTCTTCATCCTTTCCTCTATCAATCCTATTTGCTCGATCCAACTCTGTAAATCTTTGGGTGCTAGAGGCTTCCCCACCTTGCTTGGGGTGAACGGCTTAAATATATATATATATATATATATATATATATATATGAAGATCAGACAAAAAAAAACATCTATTTTACAAAATATTTATCTTCCAGCATAATCTCCTTTATGAACTTAATATTTAACCTCGATATCAAACAGACAACATTTCAGATCAGTTCGTCTACTAAGTACGCTTTCAGGCATCCTCGGATATGTATGCATGTACGTACGTACGTATTTATGTATGTATGTATGTATGTGCTATTCTAAACATGAATCCCTCATGTAATCGAGCTTCCAAGTGCGCATACACACAGAGAGGCGTTCACGACGTAAACGAGATGAGAAACTGAAACATTAGAGAAAAAAATGTGCTGAATACCATTTTAGCTTTATTTTATTTTTATTTTCTTTGTTTACTCGTTATTCTTTTAATGTGCTTCCTTTAGCAGCATGGTCAGATACAATTAAACACGAAATGATATTGTCAAATCTAGCGGTGAATGGGCCAAGGCGAACACGGGAACTGGCGCTTAGGGGTAGGGCTGTTGTGATCCGATTAGAGCAACTTTTGTGCCACAAAGTGAGAATGCACATCGCTATCACTTTTGTTCATTGTCTCCATCACTGCCAAAGTAACAATTACAGCGGAACCACCCACACAGATACCCCAATATTCTAGTACTATCTTCACACATATAGACCTGTGGTGCCCCTGGGTCGATTCAGCAAACATCCACTTAACACAAACGTAATTAAACACTCAGTTCTTAGATTTTTATATTATTTTTTCAATTTGTGTTTTTAGTGAGTTAATATACACATATACTTCAACACATATTCGCACGCTGGTCAAAACACACAGATAGCAGTAGTAGGGTTTAAGGTTCTACAGAACCACGGATGTATGGGCGTTCCAGACAAAGCCATCCAATCGCGGCCCATTTTTAACGAGAAATTTGTAGTTCTGTGTCCCTCTTCGCCTCGAGTACATGGACAGACGACAGGGACTCACCTATCCTTCTGATTTCACATGCGGGACCTTTTTGAAAGCCTGAACTTTCATTGTTCTATAAAAAAAATTCACAAAAGGTAAAAGTTCTTTATGTTGTATATTGTTTCTCAATAGAATAAAGATTATGTTTGACATAATTGTTTAACTATTCTTTTCTCAGACATATCCATAATGTCCACTAGTATAAATAATTATGTTTTATTCTTTACATTTCTTCTTTTACATACCCATGAGCAAGAATACTCCTACACACAGAAAATATAATGCTTTTCTTGGACAATTTTAGTTCTTGGCATTCATATATATATATATATATATATATATATATATATGTCCGTGTATCAATATCAGTATCAAATAAACTCACATAGATCCCAAAATAAGAAAAGAACCGTGAGAGAGTGATTGGAAACAATTTAGCATCGGTGCAAACAAAGTATATGCCAAGGTATAATAAACAATTTAACCTACTGAAGAGTTACACTAACTACAATAGTTGGACATTATCGGTGTTCCCTTTGCATTAATTCAAAATTGTAGAGTTCTAAGCATTTTTAACATTAGAGTTAATTAGATACATGTTTCAAAATTAAACATAGAGGCGCCAGTAAGTTTACACTAATGGTGTAAAAACAGAATATATAGATTATAAACGTGTTATATTCGAAATTCATCCTTACAGATGCTAAATCATACGATGCATAAGATTCTCTTACTTCAGTAAGAAACCAATTAATCTGAAAGCGTTAAGAATGCAAAGTACCATGTTTTTCTTAACGAAAAAAGGAAACAAAAAGGACACTTATAGTCAGAATCATAAAAAAAAAACATATGAAATTTCTTGGACACATAATGAGGAAAGAGGGTTTGGTGAATTTGACATTCGTATGATATACTGAAAGCAAAATGAAAAGGCGAAGGCTATCTATATGACGAGTTTGCGTGAATGGATGGTTGAACAGGAAAGAGAGGGTTAGCAAAAGGACTAAAGTTACTAAGAGCTGCAAAAGATAGGATGTTGTGGAGAGTCATGATCGCCACCTTGTCATGAAGAGACACGGTACGTAGAAGAAGACTATGTACCAACAAAAATAATTCTTTAAAAGATTAGTGTACAGATGGTCAAATATTCATCTTAAAACAAGTTTTTATTTGTAATTAAAAAGAATATCCTGAATCCCTTCTTTTGCTTAAGACTTTATAACAATGGCTACACTTTTCTTATTTGTCTAGCTACAGGCATGTTCATCGGAATTACTTTTAGTTTTTTTATTCTTTATGCATAAACAAATATATGTAGAGTGTATGGAATTATTGGCTTCGAACGTTTTCCTTCTTTTGGTGAACTCAAAACTCTAGTAAGAAGCGCGACTTACCCAAAATTCACAAGTGGTAAATCTTATCATGCAAAAGTAGAATATTTTAAAAATATTTTGTTAAAATAAATAAGGCACACTATTTACATTATTCGGGCTATTGTCCTCACCTTTGTTGCCATAATTATCACAACGTTTCGGCCGTTTTACGCTCCAGGCTTATTCAGGTGGTTGGAATGTCGAACTAAACCCTTTATTTCTCTCGCTGGGGTAGACTGTTCTAGTTCCACGTGCCATGTCTAATGGATGTCAGTTATCAGTTATCTCCTGTTAAATCACCTCTCCAAGTTCTCCACCGCCATAAATAAGGCAATAAGAGATTTACGTTGGTTAACGTAGAAATTAAATGAAATTTTATATAAAAAATAGTAAAAATTGATATTCATAGTTAAATAATAGCGTAAGAAAATAACAAATAAATAAATAACGAAAAAAAAAAAAAAAAAAAAGAATACGAAACAATGAGAAATTAGAAACACGTGTAAATTACAGTTCCAAACATTAAAATTAGATTTATTAAACCGAGCGTGGCAAAATAAAATCTATAAAGCCAAAATTGCAAATAAAATAAAAAAGATAAAAATAAGATCTAAAAAAAAAAAAATTAAAAAAGACTAAACAAAAACTTTAAATCGAAAATTAAGATTGTAAAGAACAAAAAGAAAAAAAAGGTATATACGTCTCTGTCTTCGACCACTTACTTTCATTTGAACACTTCACACTATGGTTATACCACTACGGCCCCACCAGCCTCGACCTGTTTACAACAGTCTCTTACCCCACCCTCGGGCAAGACAGGTTCGGTTATTTGTATAGTGAAGCTCACAGTTGGGGGAAACACAATAATATTAAGTAGGTGACTTAAGAATTGTGTCCGCTATCACCCACCACACATGATTAACTGTTGGCGCTGGTGGGGTCATTGTGGGCGGTAGTTATAAAGTAAGATAAAGTCGTGTTTTGGGAGTCGGGGCGAGTTGAAACGCACGGGAGGGATCAAAATGTTTGTTTTCATTGAACAGAGAGAGGGAAGAGGGAGAGAAAGAGAGAGTGTGTGTTGGATTGACAGAAAACGTATGTCTGTGTGACGGGGCAAAGGATGAAAAAGATGGAGACGAAGTGGGAGAGAGGAGAAAAAGAAGATATATCTATGGGAGAAAGAAAAGAAAGAGGAATTAAAGAAAAAGAGAAAGAAAAGAAAGAGGAATTAAAGAAAGAGAGAAAGAAAAGAAAGAGGAATTAAAGAAAGAGAGAAAGAAAAGAAAGAGGAATTAAAAAGAAAATGACAGAGATGAGCACGATGATTGCCTAATGAATTGATGGTGACTAATAAAGAGAAATAAAAAAAGGAAACGAAGGGAAAATGAAAGAGAGAAAATATTTTTATGCGATTTGTTTTGGAGAAAAAAAAAGATAGAGAGAGAACTCACATAGAGAATGCGATGACATAATTTTTGGACTTCATAGATGGTATAAGAACTAATAATCCGATTGAGGAAGAAAATGCAAAAGATACAAGGAATTATGTCAAAGAATTCAAGTACGAGCACACAAATTTTGCCCCCAGAGCCAAAAACGGACATATTCTAAACGTGAAAGAAATAGAAAAGTGAGGGTGGGAAAAGAGGTAGAGTGATAAAGAAGACAAAAGACAGAGATTTAGGGGGAAAGTCGAATGTTTATATCTGAATTTGTACGAAGAAAGAAGAGAGAGAGAACGAATGAGAGAAGAGAGAAATAAAATGAGGGAGAAACAGAATAAAAGAGATGTCGAAATTTTGATGAGAGAAAAATGAGAAACAGAATGAGAGTTCAAAGAATAAAAGAGAGAGAAACAATGAGAGAAATGGAGACAGGCAGAAAAGATAGAGAGAGCATTCTTAGAGTGTTTGAGAGAGAATAGAGCAATAAAACAGAATGAGAGAGACAGACAGGCAGAAATGGGAGAGAGAGTTCAGAGAGATTTTGACTTCAAGGGTGTTTCATTTTAAATTTTTGTTAAGGAATCTTTTTCTTTTTTTTTAGATTAGAAATGAGAAACTCCTAAAAATAAAAATATTTCAAAGATAAAAAAAAGTAAAAAAGACAACATAATTTTTTTTTTTTTTAAAAGAATGAACAAAACAGTGGAAGAAAAAATTAAACTGATGTTATGAATCTGATTCATAGTATCATATATCATAATATAATATCATATCATTATAATAATATGAATCAGAAAAAAGAGAGTGGTAAACGTTGATAGATAAAGATAGAAAATAGATAGATAGATAGATAGATAGATAGATAGAATGAGTTGTTCAAGTTAGATAGATATGGATAGATAGATAGATAGATAGATATCAACAGACTGAAAAAAGTATAGATAGATATTTGAAATAATAGATAGATAGATAGATATGAACATTTTTGGAGATAGATAAAAGATAGATAGATAGATAGATTTTAGATAGATAGATTTATAGATAGATTTTTCCTTTGAAGTAAATAAGACATTTTTGTAACAGAAATGAACGAATTTTTTAAACGCCTTTTCAGAACTTGAAGGCCATTGGAATTACCCACTTTTTTCTAATAAACGTCACAAAGTAGACTCTGTGTTTATATTATAATAATATTATATATATATTTTCAATTTCACGCATTATTTACACACACACACACACACACAATGACCAAAAAACCCATATATATATATATATATATATATATAGATAGATAGATAGATAGATAGATAGATAGATAGATAGATAGATAATCGACTGAGATAGATAGATAGATAGATAGATAGATAGATAGAAATAGATAGATAGATAGATAGATAGATAAAGAATTTACTGAGATAGATAGATACCATAGATAGATGAGATAGATAGAGAATCGATGATAGATAGATAATAGATAATAGATAGATAGATAGATAGATAGATAGATAGATTATAAAAGGAATCGCGTAACAGTAATAGAAGAGAATGTAGGTGAGTATACATTCGTTTTCTTTATCCGCCTTGCAACGACAAAAAAGAAAATTACTTTAGAGGTTTTTTCACAATCATTAGTGGAGATTTCAAAGAATAAATAAAATGAAAGAATAAATTCGAATAATGGATGAGCAAAGGTAGCATCGAAAAAAAAAAACCTAAGATTTGAAGTATCAGTGGCAGGGGAGTGGGCTGATTGTAATGATGGTGAACGAGGCACATAACAAGATCATGTTAAGTATCCAATGCTAATGAATCTTATGGAATTAGACTCATAAATCACTAAAACCACAATTGAAATTCATTCACAGATATTTTCTCCAAAGATCAATCCTATAGAGGTAGTGATGATGATGTATTTTTGGTAGATTGTTGGAGAATTGAGGATGTGACGACAAAAGAGGATGTTTCGCCTAGGTTCCTCCTACATTGCTAATCGTAGGAGTAAGGTGAAAAGAAGTGGCAGAAAACGGTTGTCATCGCAGAAAGTGTGTAGGGAGAGGAATGAGAGTAAAAACACCATTCACACGCTGACATGATTACAAGCCGACAGAATCTCAAGACATTACCACTAGCATCATCAAATTCACTATAACCAGCACCAGAAAAAGATTGTAAACCCTGCAAGCATTGTCCACCCCGACCCATCGGCCAATCTCAAGTATTTCTCGAATGCTTTCTACATCTCCACCCTTCAACACTATTCGGATCGGAACTCATGTGGGGAAGAGGTCGTAGCCATTTGGGTGTAAAATTGTTAAGAAGGCACAATTTCACCAATTAACTGCTTTGGAATAAAAATTTCCTTTTTTTTTTTTAGAAAGAAACGTTTTGTGTTGTTATCGATTGATTAACACAGTATGGCGTGAATTTTCTCTGGGGGCAATAATAAGGAGAGAAGATGGTAGGGGTGAGAGAAGGGTTGGGTAGGTAACAGCAAAAGAAAGAAGTCTGAATATATATAAAGGGAAAACGTTGAAGTGAAAGAATGAAAATAAATGAAAAAGAGAAAAATGAAGAAGAAAGAAGAAAGTGGTAATGGAAATGAAAAATACTTTAAGATGTTAATCTAATTTGAAAACAGAAATAAAATTTTTTCAATCAAGAGTCTGGAGTTTAGGCGACATGAAGGAGATCTGGAAAAATGATGGAATTTCCTAGAAGGAAAGAAAAGGAAACAAGAGAACCATATTCTAAAAAGAGTTTAAAATATTTTAAATTATTTTATGAAAAGTTTTCTTTTTTAGAAAAGACTTGAAGAGAAGAGAAGAAAGTTTATAAACGTTAATTTGAATGAACCAAACTTTTGGACTGAATGATTATTATAAAGAGAAAGAAAGAAAGAAAGAAAGATGGAAAGAAAGAGGGAAAGAAAGAAAAAGACATTCAAGAGATAAAGAAGATTATAACATATAAACGTTAGCTTGAATTTTATTTGCTTTAATGAATGATTATTATAAAAAGAAACAAAGAAAGAAAGAAAGAAAGAAAGAAAGATGGAAAGAAAGAGGGAAAGAAAGAAAAAGACATTCAAGAGATAAAGAAGATTATAACATATAAACGTTAGCTTGAATGACCAAAAACTTTTGGACTGAATGATTATTATAAAAAGAAAGAAAGAAAGAAAGAAAGAAAGATGGAAAGAAAGAGGGAAAGAAAGAAAAAGAAATTCAAGAGATAAAGAAGATTATAACATATAAAATGTAGCTTGAATGACCAAAAACTTTTGACTGAATCATTATTATGTTAAAAAGAAAGAAATGAATGAAAGAAAGAAAGAAAGAAAGATGAAATTAAGAGGGAAAGTTCAAAAGACATTCATTTTGATAAAGAAGATTATAACATATAAACGTTAGCATGAATTACCAAAGACTTTTGGACAGAATGATTATAATTATTATTAAAGAGAAAGAAAAAAGATATTCAAGTGATAACAAAGATTATGAAATATGACGGGTAGAATCCATTACCAAAACTTTTTTGAAAGGATTATTATTGAAATGAAAAGGAAAAACGGACGAAATTGGTACCAGAGAAGCGATAAGTAAAAAAAACTTGAATAGAAAGTAAACAAATGAAAGTGAATTAAAAAAAAATAAAATAAGGATGTGAAAAATTAGAAATTGAAAAAGTGATGACGGAAATCAGCCAGAAGAAGAATTATGATGAAGGAAGTGATAAATAAAACTGGAAAACAATAAGAAAAATTAAAATATGAGTAATAAAAGTAAATAATAGTAAAAATCACTGAATTTACCTTGGCACAGGGCCATAGAAATGTACACTAAGATCGAACTGAATATACTATGGTTAACAAGTCTTGCATGCCGACCATTGTTCCCATGTATAACACATAAACGAAATGAAAGATAAGGAAAAGAATATTGGATGATCTTCAAACACAAAGCAAAAAGTACTGGTGAATGTAGAAGACAAAAGAAATAAATGCTGATGGTAATATTAGACATTTCCTTATAAAGAAACATTTGGCATTCATTCACTGGGCAGCCATTGGTATTCGAGTTCCACTTTTTTTCAATTCCTGTCCATCAGTCTATGATCAAAGTGTAGTATCTGTTCTCCTCATCTGTAATGCTAATGTTAATATTAGTCATTTCCTTATAAAGAAACATTCGGCATTCATTCACTGGGCAGACATTGGTATTCGAGTACCACTTTTCTTCACTTCCTGGCCATCAGTCTATGATCAAAGTGTAATATCTGTTCTCCTCATCTCTAATGCTAATGTTAATATTAGCCATTACCTTATAAAGAAACATTCGGCATTCATTCACTGGGCAGCCATTGGTATTCGAGTTCCACTTTTCTTCACTTCCTGGCCATCAGTCAATGATCAAAGTGTAATATCTGTTCTCCTCATCTCTAATGCTAATGGTAATATTAGCCATTTCCTTATGAAGAAACATTCGACATTCATTCACTAGGCAGCCATTGGTATTCGAGTTCCACTTTTCTTCACTTCCTGGCCATCAGTCTATGATCAAAGTGTAATATCTGTTCTCCTCATCACTAATGCTAATGTTAATATTAGCCATTTCCTTATAAAGAAACATTCGGCATTCATTCACTGGAAAGCCATTGGTATTCGAGTACCACTTTTCTTCACTTCCTGGCCATCAGTCTATGATCAAAGTGTAATATCTGTTCTCCTCATCATTTTAATGCATAATGTTAATATTAGCCATTACCTTATAAAGAAACATTCGGCATTCATTCACCAATGCAGCCATTGGTATTCGAGTTCCACTTTTCTTCACTTCCTGGCCATCAGTCTTCATGATCAAAGTGTAATATCTGTTCTCCTCATCTCTAATGCTAATGGTAATATTAGCCATTTCCTTATGAAGAAACATTCGACATTCATTCACTGGAAAAGCCATTGGTATTCGAAAATCCACACTTTTTCTTCACTTTCTGGGCCATCAGTCTATGATCAAAGTGTAATATAAAGAAACTGTTCTCCTCATCACTAATGCTAATGTTAATATTAGCCATTTCCTTATAAAAGAAACATTCGGCATTCATTCACTGGAAAGCCATTGGTATTCGAGTTCCACTTTTCTTCACTTCCTGGCCATCAGTCTATGATCAAAGTGTAATATCTGTTCTCCTCATCTCTAATGCTAATGTTAATATTAGCCATTTCCTTATAAAGAAACATTCGACATTCATTGACTGGGCAGCCATTGGTATTCGAGTTCCAATGGTTTTCTTCACTTTCATTCACTGGCCATCAGTCTATGATCAAAGTGTAATATCTGTTTCCTCATCTCTAATGCTAATAGTAATATTAGCCATTTCCTTATAAAGAAACATTCGGCATTCATTCACTGGGCTGCCATTGGTATTCGAGTTCCACTTTTCTTCACTTCCTGGCCATCAGTCTATGATCAAAGTGTAATATCTGTTCTCCTCATCACTAATGCTAATGTTAATATTAGCCATTTCCTTATAAAGAAAACATTCAATTCATTCACTGGGCAGCCATTGGTATTCGAGTTCCACTTTTCTTCACTTCCTGGCCATCAGTCTATGATCAAAGTGTAATATCTGTTCTCCTCATCTCTAATGCTAATGTTAATATTAGCCATTTCCTTATAAAGAAACATTCGGCATTCATTCACTGGAAAACCATTGGTATTCGAGTTCACTTTTCCATTCAATCATAGAAACTTCTTGGGCCATCAGTCTATGATCAAAGTGTAATATCTGTTCTCCTCATCTCTAATGCTAATGTTAATATTAGCCATTTCCTTATAAAGAAACATTCGACATTCATTCACTGGGCAGCCATTAGTATTCGAGTTCCACTTTCCTTCACTTCCTGGCCATCAGTCTATGATCAAAATGTAATATCTGTTATCCTCATCACTAATGCTAATGTTAATATTAGCCATTTCCTTATAAAGTAACATTCGGCATTCATTCACTGGGCAGCCATTGGTATTCGAGTTCCACTTTTCTTCACTTCCTGGCCATCAGTCTATGATCAAAGTGTAATATCTGTTCTCCTCATCTCTAATGCTAATGTTAATATTAGCCATTTCCTTATAAAGAAACATTCGGCATTCATTCACTGGGCAGCCATTGGTATTCACTGAGTTCCACTTTTTTCACTTCCTGGCCATCAGTCTATGATCAAAGTGTAATATCTGTTCTCCTCATCTCTAATGCTAATGTTAATATTAGCCATTTCCTTATAAAGAAACATTCGGCATTCATTCACTGGGCAGCCATTCGTATTCGAGTTCCACTTTTCTTCAATTCCTGGCCATCAGTCTATGATAAAAGTGTAATATCTGTTCTCCTCATCTCTAATGCTAATGTTAATATTAGCCATTTCCTTATAAAGAAACATTCGGCATTCATTCACTGGAAAGACATTGGTATTCGAGTTCCACTTTTCACTTCCTGGCCATCAGTCTATGATCAAAGTGTAATATCTGTTCTCCTCATCTCTAATGCTAATGTTAATATTAGCCATTTCCTTATAAAAGAAACATTTGGCATTCATTCACTGGAAAGCCATTGGTATTCGAGTTCCACTTTTCTTCACTTCCGGCCATCAGTCTATGATCAAAGTGTAATATCTGTTCTCCTCATCTCTAATGCTAATGGTAATATTAGCCATTTCCTTTATAAAAAACATTCGGCATTCATTCACTGGGCAGCCATTGGTATTCGAGTTCCACTTTTCTTCACTTCCTGGCCATCAGTCTATGATCAAAGTGTAATATCTGTTCTCCTCATCTCTAATGCTAATGTTAATATTAGCCATTTTATTATAAAAAACATTTTTCATTCATTCACTGGGCAGACATTGTATTCGAGTTCCACTTTTCTTCACTTCCTGGCCATCAGTCTATGATCAAAGTGTAATATCTGTTCTCCTCATCTCTAATGCTAATGTTAATATTAGCCATTTCTAATATAAAGAAACATTCGGCATTCATTCACTGGGCAGCCATTGGTATTCGAGTTCCACTTTTCTTCACTTCCTGGCCATCAGTCTATGATTAAAGTGTAATATCTGTTCTCCTTATCTCTAATGCTAATGTATTATTAGCCATTTCCTTATAAAGAAACATTCGGCATTCATTCACTGGGGCCATCAGTCTATGATCAAAGAAGTATCTGTTTCTTCATTTGTATTCGAAGAAACATCGGCATTCATTCACTTTTCTTCCACTTCCTTCACTTCCTGGCCATCAGTCTATGATCAAAGATATCTGTTCTCTTCATCTCAATGCTAATGTTAATATTAGCCATTTCATAAAGAAAACATTCATCTTCATTCACTGTTCATTCGTATTCAGTTCCACTTTTCTTCAATTCCTGGCCATCAGTCTATGATAAAAGTAATATCTGTTCTCCTCATCCTAATTTCCATTTCCTTTATAAAGAAACATTCGGCATTCATTCACATTTGGTATTCGAGTTCATTCTTCATTCACTGTCTATGATCAAAGTGTAATATCTGTTCTCATCACTAATGCTAATGTTATTATTAGCCATTTCTTATAAAGAAACATTTCGGCATTCATTCACTTTGGTATTCGAGTTCCACTTTTCACTTCCTGGCCATCAGTCTATGATCAAAGTGTAATATCTGTTCTCCTCATCTCTAATGCTAATGTTAATATTAGCCATTTCCTTATAAAGAAACATTCGGCATTCATTCACTGGGCAGCCATTGGTATTCGAGTTCCACTTTTCTTCACTTCCTGGCCATCAGTCTATGATCAAAGTGTAATATCTGTTCTCCTCATCTCTAATGCTAATGTTAATATTAGCCATTTCCATTATAAAAAACATTTTTCGGCATTCATTCACTGGCTGCCATTGTTAATATTAGTATTTGAGTT